AATAACAGTAATGCATATGTAGCTTCTGTAACCAGCACTAAAAGAGTACTTTCCCACAGGGCTGGATATGTTTACTGTGTAGTTGTAATGGTGCAGGGTACATTACTGCAATATGCAAATGCAAATATTTATATTCTGCAATAACTGGTTTTTATTTGCTGAAGCTTAGTTTTATAGCAAATATTAATACTACTTTGGGCTAAAAAACATAAAAATCATAATTATATAGCATAAATACAGATGTGATATATGTGCAATGTACAAGCCAACTAAATCACAGTTAACAGCAGCTCTGTAACTTCAGGAGGAATTAAAACTTTGTACACATGCTAAACACAGTGGTTTTCAAGCTAAACACCATGGTTTTCAACCAAACTTGTGGAAGAACCTGTCTGCCTAGAGCCAGCATGCTATCTTCAAAGGAAAAATCTATCAGAGCTTAACAAAATTAAAAATTACTTTCAATATATATTATCACACAGCGCTGATTAATAGTTTTTTTTTTTTTTAACTGCAAATACATTAATAAAAGCATCAATTACATTGTCACAATGCAGAATATGTTAATCTCAAATAATACAGTACTTCTGATAGCATATGACAGTGCAGCTTATAAATATATAAATTGTACAGCAAACCAGATGCTATTCTTACACTAGATGACCCTAGGTCCCATCCCACCCATGAAACAGACCCAGAACAATTACACTGCAGCTTTGGGTGTTATCAGATCTTTGAAGGAGCATCTGGTTCAACTAATGTTTTCTCTAGTCATTAACAAAGGAACAAGCCACAGTAATTCACAGCACAGCACGCTGCCTCAGCAACAAAAAAAGACCACCAACTTTGTAAGGTAGATTTTTATATATGCTCTATTTCTTATAATCCCTACAATTACGATACCTTCTGTAAGAAGACAGCAGATCTCTGTGGAAAGACGTAACACTAAGTAATCCAGAACCACTTAGTATATTACAGTTAAAGTGTTTTGTTTTTTTTTAATGGAAAGCCTTTTTCATAATCAATTCCAGATGAAAAATAATTGTAAAGTGTTTCATTTATTACATGCACACACGTGTGCACGTCCACTATGAAGTACTACAAAATTGCTTGGTCCTGATAGCCCCTATCTCATTGTTCCAGATGGAAAGCGTGTTGGTTTTTTTTAATAGCCAATTCAATAAACTGTTGAAAAATGCTCTGTATAATATAGTATTGCCATAGATCTGATGTTTGTCTCTGTCATTACATTTTGCATTCAATCAATTTACAAATGTTGCTGTGTTCCTGTTGTGCTAGTTTTCCTTACGGCATCCTGAACAGAAATCCAAAGATCAATATCTTGTCTGCTGAAAAAAAGGGGGACACAACAAATGAATAATTTTATTTACAATAAAAGTCCTAGCCCCAAAGTGTATTCTGCTAATGCTCAAAATCATTTTTCATGTTGAACACAAAATGGAAGCAAGTACCCTGCACAACGCACTGAGAAAGTGATAAAAAACACAGTTCACTTATACTGAAAAAGTGAGGAAAAGCATGTAAAACCAGGAGAGGATCTATAAAATAGTAAGCCATTCACAAAGTATTTGTAGCCACACAAAGTTCGTGTCAAAGAACAGATGGATTTTCTTAAAGAAGATTCTAAAGTTGTGCTCTGAACCATGGAAGCAGCAGTGCTATGAATGAAATGAACTGAGAAGGCAGGGAGAAATAGTTCCTGCCAGCTGCATGACCTGATCCACTTCTTGACTTGTGCATTCTAAGCGAAGGAAGGACTGAATCTGCTGATGACAGACACATCCCCCCCTGCACTATTCCAGCTACTGAAAGCTATCCTCTCTAATACATCTAAAAGTTGTTCAAGACAGCCACAGATGGCTTTTCACAATCCATCTTCATAGAGCATTTCCTTTGAAAATGGTATTGATATTTGTGTAAGCTTGCTGGGATATATACAACAGGCAACTGCCAAACTGCTGAGATATGTGCTGCATGTAGTATCCCAAACTAGACTCCTGGCTCCATAGAAATGCACAGGGGCTGCTGAAACAATATCATAGAACTTTTGTACAGAATAGGGGAAAAAAAATGCACCCTGAAACAAAAGCTCATTCAGCAAGACAGCCCCCAGAACAACATGCCTGGCTGCTCTGAAATAAGACAGACAAGAGAAGGGAAGAGCCATCTTTCACTTTGAAATATAGGGGTGAACAAAGCAGGTATGTATTCCTCATGTCATTGCAAGACTGAACTGATGTCTTCACAGAAACTGAGAACAAGCAACTCTTGAGCCTTAAATGAGTTTCCATTGGGTGACAGCAATGGGACTGGGTGTCCAGAGGGGAACAGACACTAATCCTGCATGCTGGGTTATGCACAGCTTTCCCTGTCAGGTTGTGCCACAAGAGTTGAATGATTTTGCTACAAGTGTCAACTGCATGAACATACTTCAGCTTGGACAGCAGAGATCGTAGTTTAATGTCAGACCCCCTACTGAATATTAAGGTACCAGTCACTTCTATTCAACAATCTGCAATGATCAGTACACAACAAGAGGTTTGTGCAGCCATGAACTACTGTGCAACCATTAGAAAGAAGCTTAATCCTGAGTCAGATAAGGCATCTCTCAAGGAGCAGGACTTCTCTTTCCTTACCAGGAATAGTAACTCCTGGTTACTATTAGCACAATCTGATTTTCAAATGTCAAGCTGAATTCACAGGATTGACAGCTAGAAAGAAACAAAACATTTCATTTGTTAACTGAGCAAGTATGCTTTGGCACTGCTCAAATCACAAAACCCGGAACTCCACAAGACCATTTTTCTGAAATTTCTCAGAATACAACAACTGTATTTTAAAACTATTACAGCAAATACACCACTCCAATCCCACGTTCTGTTTCAAGAGGGAATTTCAACCTTACAAGTTAATTAAAGCCACCACCTGGAGTGAGCTGGCTTCAAACTGATTTCCTTTGTCTCTCTAATGCACATGCATTAATATTTTATTTTCTCCTGGAAAAAAAAAAAAAAAAAGAAAGAAAAAAGAGAAAGAAAGAAAGGAATGTCACAAGTATGCCAAAGACAAGGCAGATAAAATTATTGCAATAAAACAAAGAAGATACACTTGTTACTGCCAGGTCTTGAGACAAATGCTGCATTACACAGACATTTTAAAAGCTTACAACTGCAAATTGCTCTATTTTACATACTATATTCCAGCCTTTGCATCAAGATCTTTTCTTTTTTTTTTTTTTTTTTCCTGTAATGAGGAAGAAAGTGTTGGGGCTTTATTACCTGAACATTTATTCAACAGAGAAACAAAGACTATATTATATATTACAACGCACAGGCTATTAAAACAATGTGACATTCTAAAATATGCTGCAATACTCATTATGGGATAACAAAGCTAAATCTGAGCAAATAAATGTATCTGCCAAACAGTCAGCAATAACAACACAACTAGAGTTTATAATCTTTAATTATTTAAGAAGGAAAGAAGCTTGTAATAATTAAGTTTTACAATCTCCTTAAATTGACAGTTCTAGATACTCACAAAACTTTTAAAAAGTCTCTTCCAGTTGAAATCTCTGTTCTTTGCTTAACAACAAATGAAGTTGTTCACTTAACTAACAAAATCATTAACTATTCCCTTATAAGCTTCCCCTTCCAGCACAGGAAATATTGTTTACTCTTTGGCCTGGACAATGCATAAACCAATATGTAGGCATTTACAGGCTCACAGCGACCAATGCAATACATTCTTTCAATAGCTTTGAAAATATTTTCCCTAAAATTATGAAGAAACTGTAAATCATTTTGATTTACATCAGATACTTTATGAACTTTTAATTCAGAAGAGCAGCTCATTTAATTCATTAAAACACGTTAGTGAGAAAGTAACATGTTTAACATTCCTAGGAAATCTGTGCATCTTTGTCATACGTTTATAACCAAACAATCTGCCTTCTGGAATGAACAGAAGCATTCAAAACAGGTGCACAGAAGTTCTACACTGAAGAATTGTAATAGACAGGAACAATGGGATGAGATTCAACACTTCAGGAAGAAATAAAATACATTTATAGATTTAAAAATATATATCAGAGTCAGTAAATTACATGTTAAATTGTGAAAGAAAAAAAACAAAAACACAGAAGAACAAGGCTTTAACTGAACTCCAGACATGTTTTCAACATGCATCCAGCCACTGTCTCACTGAGTTCCCATGAAAATGCTACCATAAAACTCTACAGAAACGGACTGATCACTTGTGAGCGTTTCTGAAAAGTTCAACTCTAGCCACTGAAATGAGTGCAAGTTCTGTTCTGAAAATACTCAGTTCCAACCGTGAAATAATATGCAACACTACAAAATAAAAATACAGGCATTTACCTTTCATGCATAGTCATCTTCCCATAATGTTTCTAAACAGTTTTACCTACAACATAGGGCTTCATTTTTTCCTCAGAAAGCATGTTTGCTACACAGATGGCTTATTTAATCCGTACCCACCTAAATTAATAAAGCAATCTGCATCCCCTCCTCCCCTTCCCCCAACAACCAAAATAATAGCCTTCATACTGGATTCTGCTGCCATTTGACAAATTGCTTACACTTAGCTACATGAACTTGAACATTCTCCATAAAGAAGTTACCACTGCCAAAAATACGTGATTGAAGATGTGTTACTTAGCATACCACGGAACTTAAATAGTAGCCCCTCAGATACACTTTAAAATGCTTTTAGTAGCACCTGGCTGTTTATACATCTTCTGTGGTGAAAAGGTCAATAGAAATTCACCTCTAAGGTCACAGTTGCTAAGCAACTGTTTTCGGCAGTTCTGCATCACCAACCAAGCGTGTTAGGTTTCACCGCCTGGCTTCAGAATAAATCCGCGCAGCACCCTACCTGGCCTCAGGAGCACACCGAGCTTCCCTGCTTCTCCCAGGGCGTGCAGGTGCCCATGGTCAAGGCACTGGTCAGAAGGATACGGCCCGGGACCACCGGCTTGCGGTTCACGAGAGCAAAGGAAAGCTCGGTCTTCAGGAAGACCACGGAGGGCTTGATGAGGTGCTGGCCAAACCGCAGCATGATAGACGTTATCCTCTGGGTCTGAAAGAGACAACAGTTGGAATGACTGGAGCACAAACTTTGCTTTCCTGGACAACAGGAATAAGACAGGCAGATTGTCAGAGTTGATTCTGAAAGAAAGTGTCTCCTGTGCTTACCGAGGTGCCTGGCCTACAGAAAGTCTAACCCAGCCTTCTGAAATCTTAAAGGGAGGTATGACTTCCTTCCAAAGCAAAACTTTTACATGGTCTCCTTAAACACTTTTCTCATCATCTTGGCTGAGCTACTAAAATCTGGACAGGATGCAACTTCTTCCCATTGTTATTTGTTCAGTGTTACATATGTTTTGAGTCATATGTGCTTGGAAAAGGACAAATGATATTTCACATGCCATTTGCACATGAGCCAACACACACAAGAACTTAGAAAATACAGAAACTGCATCTTCTAAAACAATGTCTCCACTAAATATTTCAACTGAAGGAATATCAGTGACTAAGGGAAACATAGTCATATTCTGTCCAGGCTTTCCAGTTTGAACAAGTGAAATGTGAAGATCAATAGCTGCATGCAACATTTTCTCTTATATAGAAAGCCAAAGACTCCCATTTTCATTCACTAAAACTTTCTCTCCTTTTGGCAAGAATGGAAATCCTTCTTAAATAGCTAAGGTGCAACCTCCACAGCATCTATTTTAGGTCCTTAAGCCCTGGAGTATTTAAAGTATTTAATTCAATCAGAAATATCCAAAATGCTGCAGGTTAAAATATGAAGAAATGTAGAATTTTATGTGACACAATACTTCAGACACATCAAAAGCACTGCAATAACATTACCTTGCTTGAACCAAATGACTAACCAGAAAATTCAGTTTTATACGTTTGTTCAATTGGGAAAGACACTATTAAGAGTCAAACGGGGTCCTTTGCTGCTGTTCTTTTCTTGCAAGCCTATTGTGCTTACTAGACCCAAAGTGCTGGACGCATTTTAGTTCCTTAGCATGGATTCCATTTTCATGGTTCTTAATCTAAAATACTTATTCTTATTTAGTGTCCCACTCCTTGTGTCTGCCCCAGCTAAAGATACAGGTACATAAGTAACCTATAAGTGCACAAACCCTGAAAGTGAATTTGGAAAGTGAAATACGTTTGTCCTTTGGATGGAAATTCTGGCTTTTTCAACTGATTCCAAGAAAGAACTTAACTAAACTAAATATAAGTTAGGGAGATGCTCTAGTCAGGCATTACATCACAAAATAAAATCTTGTACAAGATACAAAAACTGATCACGTGGCTGTACATTCAAGCAATATATATTTTCTGAGGAAGCAGCATGTCTTTTTTTATTTTGAAAATCACAATGCTCTAGGAGATCAAGGGCAAGTAGAAAGTGTAGTCATCCCTGTTTCCAGAGACCTAAGAACATCCTAAAAATACATTTTTCCCATAAATTAATAGAAGATTAAGTGCCTGAGAAGATGTTTTCTTCACTGGATATTAAACTCAGAACTTGACAAGATACAAAATCAAGTCTCTTTAGATGCCAGAAGAATCCCTTACCAGAGGAAACACCTGCTATCTCGTACTGATGTCTGAAAAAAGCAATTATTAGAGTCTGCAATCAATCTTCCCCTTTTCTCTTAAAGCAGCCTATCAGCAAGCTCACTGTGGAGGGTTTCTCATTTTGGTTAGAATATTTATATATTATATGATAAAGAGACATGGCTCTTAATAAGATTTTATCAAGTTGAGCCAACATCTTGCATGAATACATCCAAGACGTGCTAAAGTAAACATACGCAGCACTATCAGGCAAAGAGCTTTGGTCACCACTGCTCTTTTCCTGACAAATGTTTTCAATGCTTTCAATAACAATAAAGAAATACTTTTTCACCAAATTTTGAAAGCATCCATACACAGGATTTGACTGCAGAATTTAGATCAACTATACCATGTATTTGTCATACACCTACCGCATGCATCTTTAACTTATTTCACTGCCTTCCTTGGATATATATATATTTGCTTCCTTTATACTATATAATAATGTATCTGTCTTTCTCTTGATTCAGACTAGATAAATTCAGCAAGCATTTCAAACTTGTGCTGCTAGCACTACACAATACTGCAGACCTCTCAGCACTCTTCTCAAATTAGGAGATTAGGGGATTTTTTCCTTGAACAATTATTCATTATCTGTTAGGCATACGTAACTGCTTTCTACCCTAGTTATCCTTTGTATTTTTTTTCTGTAAAGTATGATCGCCTCTAGTTGATATCAATACAGATATTAAAAAAAGCATTAGGGAAATGAGTAATGGGTGAAACAAAAAACCTGTGGTTGTGCAGCAGCACTCTGCAAAAAAGGAGAGAATATTCCAGAGTGCAGTGAGGCAGGAAAACGCTTCCAGCAGAGCAGCTTCTCAGTCATCTGAATCCTACCTGCTCATTGCCTGAATGACCTGCAAACAAGCAGAAATTGATGCAGTACAGGTGTAGGCATGCAGGTCACGAGATGCAAATAGTGTGTGCACAGGGTTTCCCAGCTGATTGCAATCACCTCACTAAGTCTGCTCCTCCAAGGAATTCAATTCTTCTCATAATGAGGAGGTCATTGCCAGGTGGAACCAAAATCTAAATATAATTGGTAAAAGATGTTTCTTCTTTAATGATAGTAGTCTTTCTAATCCCAGTAATAAGGAGGACAATTAGGTAGTAATGTTGGAAAATGAAAGAAATCCATTTCTGATAAAAGAAAATTTCAGCCCAGTTTAACATAGTTTCTGTTCTGACTATTCAGATGAAAAGCATATTTACTCTTCCTCATATTGCACATATACATTACACTGCCTATTTCATCTGCCTCATTTTCCTAATTAAATTTCCTTCAAGCTGTGTTCTTGCAGTTGTAGGTGGGAATACAGTACTAAAGGCTAATGTTGCAAGTAGACTAATTTTACAGCCACAGCAGATCTGAGATCTGTATAATCTCTACTAGAAAACAAAACAAACCACAAATTTATATTGGCACTCTACTTTACACCCAGAAAAGAGTGCTAAAATTAAGCAAAATGTTGAGATTCACTGACATATATTCAAATGTTACTCATGCATTTATCACCCTTTTGAGATCTAAACATATGCTTCAATTCTCCAAGTATGTTTGGTTTCAGGGGCTGAGAGTTTTGCTTTGTGCTTTTACAATCATAGAATGGTTTGAGTCAGAAAGAACCTTTAAGGATCATTTATTTCCAATCCCCTTCTCCATGGGCAGCGTCATCTTCCACTAGATCAGGATGCTCTGTGTTCCATCCAACCTGAGCTAGAAATCATGGAGGCTGCAGAACTGATGGAGTGAAATACACAAGATAGGTGTATACTTTTCACACAAAGAACAATATGCTATCAAATGACTCTACTGCCCATAAGGGCTGATGGCACTAATTCTTCAGGTTGTCTTCCTGCCTTTACAGACCAGCAGGATGCTTAATAGAGGCAGTGGTGGTACTCCACAACACCCTTTGATTTTATCATACAGTTACTTGCCCTTACATAGGTTTTGAGATCACTGCCTGCTGGGAACCAGGCTTGATGCTTTCACTGAGCAATCACATGAACACTCTCCCAGGAACGACAAATTTGGCTGTGAGGAGAGAACACACAACAGTGCAAAATGGACTGCTAACTTAAAGTGAGTATTTTGCAAAAAGCCAATTATACTGCCATTATTGCTGTTCCAATGTAAATGAATATTTCAGAAACAATCTAAGTATATTTTAAAGTTTGCCAGTATTAATGTCACCTTCTCATTAATTTTGATGCTCCTTATTCTACTACTCAGTTTCACTGTAAAAACACAGCAAAAGGGCAAAATATTTTAAAAGCCTTATACAAAATATCTACAAGACAAGATAACTTGCACCACACACACTATTTAAGGAAAAAAAAAAGTAATTCTTCAATAAAGAATGCTTAAGGCTAACTTCAGATTTTTCTATGGCATTTTCTAAACTGTTCTTTATCTTCCACAATTACATCAGTGAAGGCATCTGGCATTTTTCCAAAGTTTGATTGTGTGGAATGGGCTGTCTGTACTTACACACCTGAATTCTGCATTATATTGAATGAATGACAGACAATGAAGAACTGCTATCACTTGTTGTGTAATGCTTTTCTGTTTTGTGAAGTCATTCCCTCCCCTTGCTGCCTCTTTGAGAGGATGAAATCCACACAACTCAGTATTACTTGGCACTAGCAATGAATTTCCTTGTTTTAAGCAGAGTTGCCATTTTGATCAAAGGGTACTTTAAAACAGTAACAAAATGAAAGCATATTATTCTGAAATCAGTCTGTTTTTATACTATCCCTTTGACCCTGGAGTGGCTATCTCTCTCACAGCCTCTACTCCTACCCTTGTAGATTTAACTATGTATTTTGAGCCAAAATATAGCATTCTGCTGCTATTTCTGTCCTGAAAAACCAAGAATTACTGTAAAATTAGCAAACTAATTAGAAACTAGCCATAGCCTAATTTCTCTCAGTGAGGTTGGTACTTAAAGCTCTACACAAAGAACTGAAAGAAGAAGCTTGAATGATTATTTTCCATTTTCACTACCCACAGAAGCTACCAAAAAGAAAGCCCATTAAATGTGATGCATGCAGCCAGTCCTGGTGTTGACAAGTACTGATTTCTCACGTCATACACAGATTATGATGGACCTGAATCCACTACATCTGGCTTCACCTGCTTAATCTAGCAGCAAAGAAAACATCAAAATTATTGCTATTTAAATACATTGCCATTTTCTCAGCATGGTCAATCAAGCTAAATTATCTACATGTAAGATGAAAATAGACTGTGGTCTGTTGCATACTACCAAAGCACCATAATATATATGATGCTAAAGACCATCCATTTACAATTTCATAGCATGCCTTCCACTCACAGCTCTGTTCCCTTTCACCCAAGCTGCAGCAGTACTTTTTCCAAGTCCTTCTGAGGCTGTGTTTTTCCATTCTGCTCTCATGCTGTTGTGGCCTCAT